ACTATTCAATGGGTTGACAGCTATTGGAGTGGAGTTTATTAGGAATGATATCGAGTATAGAGTTTACGCTAACAAAGAGGTTATCGTTTCCGGCGGTAATTATTACACAAAAATATTTATTATTATTTTAATTGAATAATTAACTCATTTTTACATTTAGGTCCTATAAATAGCCCACAATTACTAATGTTGTCGGGTGTGGGTCCCAGGGACCACTTAAAAAGTCTTGGGATACCAGTAATACTTGATCTACCGGTTGGTGACAATTACATGAATCACCCGAATATAGAGTTGAGTCCACGGGTTAAACCCGAGTACTTGTATCTCGTCAACGAATTGCCACAAATCAATATCAAACAATTGAGTCAACTCTACTATGAGCAAGGTGGTGTGCTCGCTCAACACGCTACTGTAATATTTTTCTATAGCACCAAAAGTAACCAGGATAAACAATGGCCCAATGTCAACCTATTTATCAATACATTTAATGGTTCATTTGTGACCACGTCCAATTTAGTTCGTGTCAAAAGTCACGGTACAGTACGCCTACAGTCAACCGATCCCAGGGTTTATCCACTTTTAAACCCAAACTGGTTATCCCACCCGGATGACGTGCAAAACACATTAGAGATGACCAGGATGCAATTTTATTTGTTTGAGAAAACACAGTTGGCTCAATATGTTATACTGCCTAAATTGTCGAAATATGACTGTCCGGTGTGCACCGGGAGGTATATTCACGAGTGCACAGAGGGGTTGATGTGTTGGATAAAGTATAACTCGTTCACTACTTATCACGTGTCCGGGAGTTGTCGTATGGGCTCAATAGACAGACCCGATGTTGTGGTCGACCCCCAGTTGAGGGTTAAGTACACGAAGAACCTCAGGGTTTGCGATTCTTCAGTATTCCCATCCCTTCCCAACGCCAACACCGCCGCTATATCTATAACTATTGGCTACAAGTGCTCGCAATTTATTAAAGATACATATGATTTGAAATAAAAATAAATAAATGATAAATCATTTTAAACTCGTAATCAGTTTATTTCAATACTGAATATTAATATAATTGCCAAATGTAGACAATATTTATGAATTAAATATTCCATGTACTGTATGGTAACATAAAGATTAATATAAGTTTAGTAAATATATAAAATCAAAGTCTAGATCTTGTCTAATATTTATATATTGTACAGGTATTTATTATTAGTTTTTTATGAAGTTTGTTAGGACTATATATTTTTATGTTATAAGGTTAATTTGCGAAATATCATTGATATCTAAAAATCATTGACATTATTAAACATTTGCTCAAAAAACAAATATAAAAGACTTTTAATTTTATAATTTTTTATATCGTTTTTTAATTTATTATATTTAAAAACTATGGTTGAAGTCACATTGTTAACTTACAAACTACTGGTGCTCTCATGGATTACAGCTCAGAGACAGTTAATCCATGATATGACGGCATCACGTGAGACATGGGGTAATACGTACGACTTTATAGTGGTGGGCGCCGGGGCTGCGGGTGCTGTGGTGGCCAACAAACTCAGTGAATGCAAGTCAGTGCGGGTGCTATTACTTGAAGCAGGAGGTGCTCAAAGTGCCACATATAATGACATCCCCGGGATGTTTAACTACATATACAGGGATGGCATCAATTATTGGCCCTATTATTCTGAGCCCAGCCCTAACTATGGACAAGGATACCCTGGTGGTCGGGTTATGGAGCCCAGGGGTAAAACATTAGGGGGTAGCACTACACATAATAATATGGTGTTTAATCGGGGTAATCGTGGCGATTATGATGACTGGGCCAACATATACGGTGCTGTCGGTTGGAGTTATAAGGATTTGTTGCCAGTGTTTAAGGAATGGGAGAATAATACCGATCCTTATATAGTGGCAAATAATCCGGGATATCACGGGACCAGTG